CTAAAATTTTACTTAAAAGGCTAGGACAGAGGTTACTCAATGAGGAACAAGTGTCCTTTGCTATTGTGTCTAAATGACAAAGCATTGTGAGGACTTTTAAAAAGAGTACTGAAATTTCCAGAAAGAAGATAATATCTGACTTAACAATAGGAGTAGGCTTAAAAATAAAAATAAAAACTCAGGTCACTAACAAGTCAAAGCCAAAGATGCAAAGACTTAGAATTTAAACATCAAGACATTCTAGTTTTCCCAAATTCCTTTAATCTACTATAGGAATGGGAAATTAAAATGATTTTTCTCTCTATAAAGCATTAAAATAGCTCCCCAGGATGGCTCTTCACTTAGGTGTTCTTTATTTAATAATTCACAAAACACTCAAGTGAGTGAAAAGTATCTTAATTAGTCACATTGCAAATAAAATGTGAATAAAGTTTAGACAAGATTATATGTTCTTTCATTCATAATTCAATGACTTTTCTCCAAATTCTACATTTGAAGAAAATGTAGAATGTATTTACAGTCTCCATTTATTTTTGCCCCACTACATATTCTGTAGAGACTTGGTCTTTCATTCTCCAGAACAATAGAGAAAATTATCTTTTTACTATTTACTGAAATTATTTTATGAGACAACTGAATCACTCCAACTGTTCACAAAAATTTTTCCGTTGCATTTGAATTGTAGTAGCTATCATTAACTGATAAAAGCTAAAAAACATATTCATATTTAAATTACTTCAGTATACCATAATTGTTGACATCCATTTGTTAGCACTAGTATTTTATGTATGACAAAAACTACTAAATGTCAACAGTTTATTTTTTCAGGTCAGTGATGTGAAAATAATTGTAAATACTGCAACAAATATTTATAAATTAAGTAATGTTTCAAGCATACAATAAGCAGAACAATTCAAGTATATGAAAAGACAACATTAAATACTCATAAATCTTCCTTCTAGATTTAGAATTAGAATCAAAAATTTCATCCCCTTAGAGTTAAACTCATAATTTATGGTTGGATAAATCAAAGTTAGATTCCGCAACTTAACACCTTAGTTTAGGATTCTGTTAATTTTCATTCAAAGAATGACTGCAAATACCAAAGTCATACAGAGTAAGTAAGCAAACATAAACTTCACCAGAAACTTGAATTTAGAGTTATGACTTTAATGCACTTAACTACTCCAATCAATAGCTTAGGCAGGTAATTATGTTTTTTAAACAGACTATGACTATTTCTTCAAATTCTAAATAGAAAGCACTATATAAGAAAATCAGATGGTAGAAAATTAATTCAACATACTGTCTGTGCATGTGTTATGTTGCAAGTGTTGCTTTCAAAAGATTCCCAGAAAAAAGAATAGTGACTCTCATCCCTACTTATTCTTAGATGATTGTTTAATAGTGAAGTCAGTTTGTATTTGAAGACATTTTGAATAATCCTATTAAAAACCAATTCAAACAATGTGGTTCATGTTTAACTCTTCGGTTATTTATCCATTAATCTCTTTAAGTGCTTCCTTCCTTAACACAGCTGTAGTTCAAGGGATGGCCAGCAGTTGGCCTCCATTTCTGTGGATTTTCATGAACACCCAGATTTCTTTTTGCAAAGTTTTCAAATGTTGTATGACTAAACAACTTTTTTTATAATTTAAGAGCTTATAAAAAGCTTTCAAAAGCAGTCCAAAAGAAACAAATTTTCTTTTAAAAATAAAAACCAAACAAAAGAAAGCCACACACACTGTAAAGATGTTCTCTGCAAAACATTCTGTTCAGCAGATTTGAAATGTCTCCAAGGGATCAAGAACCACTTGGTTTGGAAGCAACCGTTGAGAACACATAACAGGTTAGGTAAAAAGCCAGCTAGTGACATCCATGAACAAATTTCTAGAGTAGACTAGGAGTGGCTGAGATACCAGGTACTGGGCCTTTCCCAGTCTCCCCATTCCATTTACTTGGAATACCATTCAACCAACTGTTCAAAAGTCTCAGTTCTTAGTCCTCTGTTCTTTTGTCCTTTTATTCTCCCCACTAAAGATTGCAGTGCTACTAACCATGATGTTTGTGGAGACAACTCACAAGTCTACATCTCTGTGTCTGTTATATCACTCAAACTAATTCCCTATCTCCAACAGCTGACTTAAATATTTCCACCAGGATACGCCATCATTATCTCATACTCAACAAATATAAAACAAATTTATCTTTATCAAACCTACTCTCTTTTTCAGTTTCCTTGGCTTTGTTAACATCAAACCCATTTTTCTGGTGACTAGGACTTAAAACTACAGGAGCAACCATGAACTCCCTGGTAACCTCTACCGTTCACATTTAGTTGGTTCCTGAGGCAGACTGCGTGCTTCAGCGGTGACCACCACATTATCTCCCATCCACAAACAGAAGTACAATATGATCTTGCCACTTTGCCCTCAAAGGTGGATTGAATCCAGGCTAGTCTAAAGACTCACTTATAACCAAAGGAACATGACTGATGCAATCCCATGAGATTTCAAAGACGAGGTCAGAAAATACCCTTCAGACTGGTGGTTCTCTTGGAATACTCCCTCTGAGGGAAGCTGGCTGCCACATAAGAACTTCAACTACCTCAAGACTGTCGGGCTATGTGAGAGGCCACATGTAGTCCCGAGGAGGCCCAGTCTTCTAGCTATCCCCATTAGGGTGCCATAAATGGGAGCAAAGCTGTCCTAGATGCCCTGTGACCAGTTCGTCTGCCAGTTGAAGGTCACCAATCAAACTCAATAAATACTCTGAGGAGAAGAATCAATCAGCTGAACCCTGCCCTAATTCTTAACACACAAAATCATGAAACATAATTAAGTGTGTTCACAGCTTTCCTTCTAGGCATTCAATATGTCATGCATGAAGCTGTTAGTACATGGGGCCAAATGTTAACTGAAACACATCTTTGTCTCCATTCCCCGAGCCATCATCACAGAGGAAGCCTTCATTATCTCACAGCTAGCCTATTATGACTGACCTCTGGCTATCCTCACTATAGTCTCTCATTATAATCTATCTAACCTAAAAGTTCTAACCAAAACTTTTATCCCACCATCCCCAAAACCAACATCAATCTCATCATGTTTTTAAACTTACAGGAAATTATAAATGCAAAAGAGTTTTCATAAATATCTTTAATTTGACCCATACAACAAAGCAAGAGATCTGTCAATACAGTAAATATTCCTATCATCGTTCTAGAGATGAGGAAACCAAAGGCTAAGGGGTTAATTTTGGTACAATCTTACTGTGAATAGATGGGATAGATAGATACACACAGAACTAAGAGCTTCAGTCATAGATTACTGCTATTCCTCTATTCTATGATGCATCCTATGATCTATTCTCTTCAAAACCAGTCACTGTCTCTCTCCATCCTAAATACAGCAAATCTTTCTTTAAGGCACTCCATAATTTGGCCTCCATCTAGCCACTCATCTGGTATTTCCTACTAAGCCCAATCACCAGCACCATCACCACTATTTCTTCACCTAACAATAAGCCATGCTGATTCTAGCCCCAAACATTTACCCACAATGTTTCTTTCTTTCTCTTCCAATCTACTTAAACCTTGTTTGTGAATTAGCACAAATTCCATCCCCTCCATGAGCGCCTTACCACCTCTCCCTTTTGCTTTCATACTCTGTTGTGCCTTTAAGATTTGTAAATTTCACCTACTATTTTGACAGTTTTATCTTGCTCCAGTGCATTGGTCTTACCTTGCAGGGAGACATTCAGTCAACACACACCCAAACATACAGTGCTGCTGAGTGCTTACAGACAGTGTCCATTTTAGCTAGTCAGTGTTCACGACATACCTTTTGTTAATTATTTTGAATTTCACCTCTGCTTATTTCCCAAAATAAACCAAAGCTCTTTAATAACAGGAACTTTGTCTTATAAAAAAGTATTATTTCTTCCAAAGCAAGCATAGAACTAAGTCCACATCTAATATTCAATATGTATTTGTTAACTAATATGAAGAAAATGATTATGTGCTATGTTGTAAGAAAAAGATATTTACAAGTCATGCCTCCTCTAGAAACAAAGAGTTGAAAAGATAAAATATTTTCACTATCAGCAGTTTAATGTCAGGGACTTTCTTTAAAAGTATCATTTAAAGACATTTTGTGCAGCCCGTAACTGCCAAAATGTTTTATAAGTGTTTTTACCAGGAGTGTGAAAAAAAGTTTCAAAAATATTCAAGGAGATGTCTTGAAAGCTCAAAATAAAATGTTTGCTGAGGCTACAAGGCTGGCAGAATTCTGCTTCATTTCAAAAAGTTTCCAGGCAATGGAAATGTTTTCCTGGAAAATACTACCTTTTATTTAGAGAACACTTGCCATGAACACTTAGTCATTAAATAATTTAAGGTTTCCTCACAAGCTCTTTGAAGGAAATCTATTATATGAATGAATGAAAATATCAGTAACTATAATGTCAAAAATAAATGTTTGATGAAATATGTGAAATCTAAGTATTTTCCCAAGAGGAGGAAAGAAAAAAACCTCATACTTCTTGATCTACTAATAGGTCTGTTAAATTTCTCTATAAGATAAAATTATGAAGAAAAAGAAAATCCATAAGTGTTTCTCTGAAATACATACAAATAAAAAAAAAAAACTACAGGGCTAATTTTATTCAGAATGCCAAGTAATTTTCAAATAGACAAAATGTGCACTTCATCCAATGAAAAGAAATAGTAATTTCAAAGTTATTTTTAGCAAAAATCTTTTTTTTGAGTTTGCTTCAAATCACTTTTCAATAAGAGAGCAACTCTGTTTGGACATTTTACTCAATCATCTGGCTGCAGTAAATCATACAATGAAACCTAAGAAACAATTTCTGCCAAGATTTTTGTAGTCAACCAAGTCTTACCCCTTCAAACATCAAAAGACACAACTAAATTCTACTCCAAGAACGTGATTTGTCTGTTTAGTCTTTTAAAAACATATACAAAAGGATATTTGTTTTACCTGTTTAGTATTTCAGTGAGTTTCACAAAACCAGTATAAGCCAGTTCAAATGCTCCTCTGTGCCTGGACTGTAAAAGGTGCTGTTTAAAGTAATCTCCTATTTCTTTTACCTGAAAAAAAATCAAAAACAACCATTGAATTTGTTTACATTTATTAATATGTATATATTAGTAATATCATTTAGAACCCAGGTATAGACATTCAACACTTACCATGTGACAGGTAGTGTTTTAAGCATTTTCATAACATCTCATTTAATCTTCACATAATTCAGTGAAATAACTACTATTATTAACCCTACTTCCCAATGGGGAAATTGAAGCCCAGAAAGATTAAAAAGCTTATACAAGGTCACATAGCAGGACAGCAATGGAGCCAGAATATGCTCCCATGTGACCCAGGCAGTCTGGCTCAAGGTCGGTCATTTTTACCTGATGCATGAAAAGCTTCTCCCTCTTCACAAACCTCAGTGTGTCCTTTGTTAGCTCACTCATTCCACCCCAACAGCAAACTACACAAATCAACAACATTCACATACATAGGTGTAGGTGAAATACTTGCCTTCTTTTCCTTCATTCTAATTTTTTTTCTTTTTTATTGTGGTAAAACATATATAACATAAAATTTATTGTTTCAATCATTTTTAAGTGTACAGTTGAGTGGCATTAAGTACATTCACATTGTTGGACCATCACCATCATGTATTTACAAAGCTTTTTCATCTGCCTAAACTAAAACTATACCCATTAAATAACTTCCACACATAAAGGTTAATGACAATTCAAGATTTAGCATGAAGGGCCTCCTGAAAAACTAACAGGCTTCACTTTGAGTCAGAACCATGGAATTTGCCAGAATGCCACCAATCACTTTCTTACATATTCTTTCTCCACACGAGAGACAAATAACAAAACATGACCATTAGGGAGTTTTTTACATATTTTTTAAAGATGGGAGCTTCACTATGTTTCCCAGGCTGGAGTGCAGTGGCAATTCACAGGCACAATCCTATGCACTATGGTCTCCAAATCCTGGGCTCAAGCGATCCTCCCACCTCAGCTGGGTCTATAGGCACATACTACCATAGCCAGCTGGACTATTTATTTTAAAGAAAACTGACAGTTTATTGTTGATTAAAGTTTTGAATAGAAATAATGGACAGGCGCATGGGGCTTTTACACCGTTAGATTTGGTGGTTACTGGATTTAGAAAATCCAGGTTTTATATAAAACTCAGGAGCAAAGCTGAATCAGCTCTCTCTTAATCCAGGTCACCTCAGCAGATCACATTATGATGAAAGGCAAGCTGTCCCCAAATATCTCAGATATGCTTACCTAGAACCACCTTCCACCTCAGCATGGAGATTAGATTAGTGTTCTACCCACATTACAGATGATAAATGGTAGGAAGAGTAGTTAAACATGTGACCAGAGGCAAGTGTCTCCATTTCCTCTTTTAGAAATTGGGAATAATAAAGGTACTCAGCACACAGGCTGTTGTATTAAAATGAGTTAATAAATTAAAAAGTTCAGAACAGACCCATAACCCATAATTCAAACCAATTCAATATGAGCTCTGTCTAGGGTTCTAAATATACAAAACTGAAGATATAATCCATACTCTATAACTGATTATACAGACAGAATGAGTGATATATTTAGAGAAATCAGAATCACATATGAGACCAACAAAGAACCCAAAAAGTAGTATACAACAGATTTTCTTTTGCCTCAAGCTATCCCCCTGGGTAGAGTGCTGTGGCAGCACAGCTCACAGCAACCTCCAACTCCTGGGCTCAAGCGAGTCTCCTGCCTCCGTCTCCCAAGTAGCTGGGACCACAGGCACTCACCACAACGCCTGGCTATTTTTTGGTTGCAGCCATCATTGTTGTTTGGCAGGTCCAGATTGGATTAGATTCGAACCCGCCACCTTAGGTATATGTGGCTGGCGCCTTAGTCACAGGTGCTGAGCCCAGATTTTCTTTTAAAATTCTAACTCTCAAATATCCCAAGAGTGACAGGTCATGTTCTTCAGCTCAAGTTCTCCTGATCTGATAAATCTCATTTTAATATCTTTCAAATGCCACATATACTAGTTGTCAAAAGCCACAGCCAGGATAAGCCTTATTTTACCTTCAATATGCTAATTTCAGAGTCTATCTGGAACATAATTATCAAGGTTCAAATTGGAATTCAACCTCCCAAAAAGATCTAAAGCTCAATAATCCTACTAAATAAGGAGCAGAAGAAGCACCAGTTAGCTAACTTGAAATGGCCAATATCTCTGCTATAGAGAAATAAAAGATTTCTAAGATGTTTCAAGCTACAGAAAATAAAAACAGAAAGGCATAGAGGGGCGGCGCCTGTGGCTCAATGGGAAGGGCAGCAGCCCCATATACCAAGGGTGGCAGGTTCAAACCTGGCCCCAGCCAAACTGCAACAAAAAATAGCCGGGCACTGTGGCAGGTGCCTATAGTCCCAGCTACTCCGGGAGGCTGAGGCAAGAGAATCACCTAAGCCCAAGAGTTGGAGGTTGCTGTGAGCTGTGACACCATAGCACTCTACTGAGGGCGATGAAGTGAGACTCTGTCTCTAAAAAAAGAAAAAAAAGAAAGGCACAGAGGCACAGATGAGGTCTATCTTCCTTAATTTTTTCTAAAATGTTATAGATATTAAAACGTACTTACGGAAAACATAAACATTACTCACAAAGTGCCTCTCTGTGGACAACAGTTCATAATCTACTCCTTAGGAAAAGATTAGATTTTCATTGCTTCCTTTATCCTAATTTCTTTCAAAGGACCCTAAACTCAAGCATATAATAAAATCAAAGACTCCAGAAGTGTGCCTAGTGGGTAGTCTTCTCATGGGCAGACTCTAGGGTAATCCTGGCCTCAGAAAAGTGAATAATATTCTTAGGACAAAAGTGAGATATAGATAGTTTTTCTTCATTTCTTTTTTTTTTTTTT